TCCCTACAAACACCCTTGCTTGTCTCATAGAAACATGCAATGTTATTAGGTTGTGAGGCAAGTGAGGGTGCTATACTTATTGAGGGTTGTGAGACTAGTGGTATCTCAACATTTTTATCACAAACATTCAAATTGTCAACCAAACTGTTCAAAAATTTATCAGATATATTAGAAACACTCAAAACTGTATCAGAGGTAGCAGCTACTGTATCAGAATAATTAAAAACACCACAAGAGATATTGTCACTTAAAACATTTAACAAAGAATTGTCTTTATTTAAAATGAAAGCTTCAGGTTTGGACTCGATTTTATTTTCAGAAACACATCTTTCAACTTTGTGCTTTGACTGATTCAAGGATTGATCTGCATGAGAAGTAGAAATGTTAGTACTTTCAACATTAATAAATCCTCCCGAAACAAAACCGGAGGGCTTGCCATAAATCATAAATGATTCATTGGCAATCTCTTCTTTGGACAAGGGCTTGGACACATATGAATGATTGAAAGGAGGAGGTACATGATTATACCCTAGACCTTTTGATTGATTCCTTTTAAACTGCATACTTTGGTCTATCATATTTGCAACCACCTCACTTGAGAAATCATATTTTCTAACATCAAGTTTGGCGGTCTCAAATTTTCCTTTCAAGGATTCAACTTCAGCTACTAGCTCAGCATTTTGTTTGACTACATAATCATAGTTTTCACATTTGTTGCTGTAGTCTTCCTGGAGTCTCCTAAAGTCTTTAATTTTTGATTCTAGTTGAGCTTTAAGTGGTTTTTGTCCTTTTCGAAGTCGGTACCCTTCATATCTAAGGTCTTCTACGTCTCTTATTAATTTGTCATTGAGTTCACGAAGAATCCTAAGATTTTCTGCTTCATTTCCTAGTATCTCAATTTTATAATGTAAAGTTTTCACATAATCTACACAAGCTTTAGAGCATGATAGTAGACTCACCTTGGACGAATTAGGTTCATGGGAAGAGGATACCATCAAGCCAAATTGTATCTTCGTCATATTGTCTTCAGCTACTGCAGTCCCTGCTTGAGTGTCATTCCTTACTTGTGCTAGATGAACATTTTCTGGTCCAGACAAATTTAGAGCTTGTATTTGATCATCCCAGTCAAAGGATTGTGCAACCATCGCCTTTTCATTGTTTTCTTGACCACTGCTTCGGTTGTTCCCAACTGCAACCATTGTTCTGTCATTATTAACCCTTCTATCAGGGTGTGGGCAATCACGAGCAAAATGCCCTGGCTCGTGGCAATTGAAACATTGAAGCTTTCCTTTGTTGAATCCAACCTTCTTGTCAGCGCTCATTCCCCAATTGTTCTTCCCTGTCTTTTTGGCAAACTGTTTTGCCCTAAATACAGCCATGGCAATTTGCCATGCGATGTCCATTTCCTCAACGTCCTCCAGATGGATTTGATCAAGATCTGCAAATGACAATTGAGGTGGAAGTTCCCCAGCTACAAGAGCATTGTAGCAATTTACAAGCCCCGCTGCAAAGACAAGGTTTTCATCACCCTCCTTTCCCTTTGAAGAGGAAGCCACATTTGAGGATGAAACAGTTTGGGTAGACATGAGAGGCTGGCTTTGTGGGTAAGGAATGACCGGTGCAGAGGAAGATGAACCTGTAGGAGTATAAGAGAAAGAAGAAAGAGCATTATTAGTTGAAATACCAAGATTGGCAGCTAAGTAGGAGTTCACATGATTGATCTCTCGCTGCTTGTCATCAATATCACACGCTTTGATGACAACCATCACTTCAGCTAGGGAAAGGCGATTGAGATCCTTAGTCTTCTTAATTACGGCTACATTCATGTCCCAAGATTTTGGGAGTGCATTTAGTAGCTTCTTATTAATTTCTGACTTTGTATAAAAGATCCCTACCACAGTCATCTCTGTGTTGAGAGTTGTAAATCGCTGCAGTTGAGCTTCGAGAGTCTCTCCGGGAACATAATTAAACATATAGAAGCGTTGTCTCAGCATATCTTGGCGACTTTCTCGCATGTCTTCATTTCCCTCATATACTTCAATGAGAGCTTCCCACAGTGCTTTAGCAGAAGTATACTCTCTGAATCCTTGAGCAATGTCTGGAGATAAAGCCATAGTCAAAATGGCCAGTGCCTTTTCTTGTTCTTCTACACTCTCAAACTCTTCATCAGTGTAGTTTTCGATTTTCTTATCGACCACCTGCCCGCCAACTGTAGTGGTGATTATGACTGGATCCTTTAAAACACATTTCCAAATATTGAAGTCCTTCATCTTGATATACTTTTCAATTCTATATTTCCACTCGGGGAAACCATCAGCGGACATAAGTCTTGGAATGCGCGTGGTTGTTCCCATCACAACATCAAGTTCTTGGTATTGAGTTGAATTTTGTGTTTCAATTTTAAACAAATTATCTGTAGTAAACAAAATTATTTGGCCGTAAACACTCTTTACACCTTAAACTAGAGTTTACGGTCAAATTTAATTATTATTAAATTTTTTTTTTTAATTATATAGTAACTGACTTAGCCGTAAACCCTTTGGCCGTAAACTTGTTGGCCGTAAACCTTAGGCCGTAAACTCGAGTTTACGATCCAAAGATACCTTTTGATTTAAACTCCGAAAAATTAATGGTGTAATTATCGTTTAACACAAAATCGATTTTTCGTGAATAATCGAGTTTACGGTCAATGAAGGTTAAATATAAAAGTTAGATTTTATTTAAAAAAAAAACAACTCAATTAAATGCCAGGATCAAAATTTGATCACGAAGGCTTGAATGATGTGTAAAATAATCGTTTTTGTAGAATGAACTTGTGGCTGTGAAGAGGAGTTTACGGCCGTAAACTCAGGCCGTAAACTTCGAAAACCTTTGATTTTGACTGGAAGGAATCCCTCTTCGTTGCTGTGAATATCGATTTAGTTGAAAACGCAGCTGTTGAACGTCTTTGACACTGGTTTAGCTCTGATACCAATTGTAAAGTCCCGAAAAACAGATCTACCAATGATCAAAGATAATCACAAATGCAAACACGAATGAATAAGCAAATATAGAACAAAAGACCAAGCTTGCATACGCTTCAATGCTATAAAACGTCTGATACAACTTGGGAGAATACGAAAGCATCAACAACAAATAAAGTCTGACACAACACCCTATTTATAGACTTGACTTACAACTGTAAGGTGTTTACGGCTGTAAGGAGTTTACGGCCGTAAACACATTTTGACCGTAAACTCATGACAAAAACATTTTGGCTACACATCTACTGCTATCAACTATTATGTCTAGACCAAACCACTATACAGGGTCTTTCAGAAACGACAAAGAGATTGAGATTAGACCTGACAATTCAAGTCACGAATACCACTACAAAGAACGAGGCCTATACATACGACTTTTTTGACACGTATGCCGACGACATGCCGTTGGTAAAATCTATCCTGTCGACTTGTCGACTGTACAAAGTTGTCGGTATAGCTCCGTCGGTAAAAGTCAAAAATGTCGTCGGTACAGATCAACCTATCCAGACGACTTGTGGTCTATAAATGATCGCTGGAAAAGATTTTCAAGGTAAAAAAAGTTTTATTATAAATCTATGCAGACGACATGTCGTCTGGACAGGGTGAGCTATACAGACGACATGTCGTCGGGAAAAGTTTCCAACAGAAAAAATTATACTAACCTGTTTAAAACAAACCCAATACACATGTTCAAATCACCAATTATAAAAATATACTAAACATCTAATACAAAAACTAGGAAACAAAAAACAAGTCTTCGTGTTCAAATCACCAATTATAAACATGAAATCAAACATATATCAAATTTCAAAAAAAAAAAAAATAGAAAACAGAAAAAAAAACACTAACCTGTATTGTTCTTCTTGATGTGATGGCTGGATTCCGATGGTCGGATTTGATGGTGGTCTTCCGGTGGTGGCTGGTGGGCACCGGAAAAGCACAGAATAAGAAAACAAAAGAAAAAACCCCAAAATCAGAAAAACCTCATCCTTACCTGCTGTAGCAAAGAAGATAACTTGGGAGGAGCAGGGTGGTCGAGAACGGTGGTGAAGGAAAGACGGTGGTGAACAGGTGAAGGATGGTGCAAAATCGCCGGTCCAGCCCGAGAGAGAAAGAGTGTATCGTTCGCTGCAACTGAACGATGCACTAATACCTTCTGTAAGGGTAAAAACCTATGCAGAAGACATGTCGTCTGTATAGGGTTCAAATAACGACGTCGTTTTTATCTTTTGTATTTATTAAAAGAAATTAAAATTTTCATGCGGATCACTACGTTGGATTCTTACCCTAGACATTAGACTTGTCGTCTGCAGAGAGTTTCAGATGACGGCGAAATTTTTTGTCTTTCTCGCCCAAGCTGTCCAGACGACTTTTTATCTGGATACCTAATAAGGCTAAACAGATTTGATCATAGTAGCCAAACGTTTTGGCGACTACTTGTCATCTGCAGAGCCCACCTTTTAGCGACGACTTTTGTCGTCGGGATAAGTGTTGCCGCGATAGCCTGTTATTCTTATAGTGTACACGAATCATGAATGGCACGTTTTCATGCACGAATACAGGAATTGCCAAGTCTAATTGAGATACTCACCATTTTTAGTGGACAAAATTGCAAGAATGGTCCCTGTGGTTAGGTGGAAATTGTCACTTTGGGCCAAAAAGGTTTGGGCTAGCATTGATGGTCCATTGGTTTGCATTTTGTTGCCACTTTGGTCCAAAACCTTAAATACTGTCACGTTTCCCCCGTTACCATCCATTTGACTAGTCAAATGGAGGGTATTTTTCATCATTTAATTAATAAATTCCTTTTACGTATCCATCCCTTACCGCCATACGGATAAAAGTGTCGATCATACTCACATTTATAGTCTTAATTACATAGATAGTCGTTTCCACTTCGATTTTCATTAACTGAGGATCAAGAACCCTAATCCCATTTCCAGCTTGTGCGCTTCAATCAAGTGAGTTAATCAGTTAATGCAAGTTCCAATGTGGAATGTAAGGTTGTATGAGAAACTATTCAACGCAAGGGTGGTTTATGGTACATATTTTTTATTTTGCTCACTAAGTTGCCTTTTTATGTGAAATCCTATCATCTGAAACTTCTTTTTTGTTCTTGTTTTGAAGATGGATACCCTACTCTTTTTACCATCAAGCTACATCATGGGGGAGAGTTCACAAAGTTTCCAGATATGAACTACATTGATGGAACTGTGACATACATTGACATGGTCGATATAGAAGAGTTTTCTGTTCATGAAATGGATGCCATCATGAAAGGGTTAGGATACTCAGTTCCTCCAGTTATCTATTATCATTTTTGGTTTCCCAAAGGAGACATGAATTTTGGACTACGTGCCCTAGGAAACGATGATGATGTTCGTAATCTTGCCCAATATGTGAAGGAGCATAAAGTCATAAGGGTATACACTGAACACAGTTTTACAAAATTGCTTACTTACTTTATGACTCCTAAACCTGTTAAAAAGGTCACTATTGAGCAATTAGATGAAACTGAGGAACATGAAACCACCACAACCGATAACCAAGCTAGTGATAGGAAAAGGAGTTGGACCAAGGAAAAATCTTTGTCATTATCCCCTGTTTTACATAATGAAGGTGCTTTGTCATTATCCCTTGTTTTACATAATGAAGGTGCTTTCTCATTATCCCCTGAGTATAATAGGAAAAGGAGTTGGACCAAGGACAAAGCTTTGTCATCATGCAGTAAGAAATTGGCCATGGGTGATGTTGGTGAAGCTAATGTAGATGGGGATAAGGATCATGCACCTAATGATTTTGACGAGGCAGATAATGAATTTGATCTTGGATTGTACCAGCAGATTTTAAAATCTAATTTTGAATTTGATAATGGATTCAATGAAGAGAAGGAAGGGGAGGAGGTAGTTAATGAAGTTAGTGCTAATGTAGATATGAGGAATTATGAGAAGGATGCTAGAGTTGAAGATGATGTAGATATGGGGGGTTATCAGATGGATGTTGGAATTGAAGATGAAGTTACTCATAATGTAGCTGAGGATGAAAGAAGTGACGGGGAGGAGGATAATGGTGAAAAAAGTGATGGGGAGGAGGATAGTGATGCAATGACTTTTGGGTAGATGAGGATAACATAATTCCTGAAGTAGAGGTAGAGATGAAGGATTTTTACATGAGTGTTGATCTGGAAGCTGAATTTATGGAAAAGAGAGTAACAAATCCCATGCATAATGATAGTGATGAAGACCTTAAAGACCCTGAAGATTTGGATGTAATTGATAATGACCAATGGGATTCAATGGATGAGGGTTTTGATATGGAAAGGAAAAGGAGAATTTTATTAAAAGAATTAGGGAAGGAGACAAGGTGCTCTCAAGGGGAGATACATAAAGTTACTTTTAGGATAGGATAATAATATAAAATTAAAAAGGAGTTAAAGGAAAAAACTACAATTGCATGCATTGGAAACCAGGAGGAATATATTCTACAAGAAAAACGACAAAACAAGGTTAAGAGCTTTATTCAAAGGGAATGTAGCCTTTAATGAGGGTGATGTTGGTGAACCCACCCCTTGTCCTTGGGTGATACAAGGTTATAGATCAAATAAAGATGGTAGTTGGATGATTAAAACATATAACCACAAACACAGATGATTGCAAACAAGAAAAGTGAGATCTGCAACTGCAAAGTTGATTGGGAAGCAAATAATGGATCAGGTTGAATTAAACCCAACAATCCCTATGAAAGCTTTTAAAGAGCAACTACAAAAGGAATATCAAGTGGGTTTCTCTATACATCAGATTTTCAGGGCTAAATCTAATGCAAAAAAACAAGTGCAAGGGGATTACAGAAAACAGTATGAGGTTCGTAGAGATTATATCTTCGAGTTACAGTCTACCAATCCAAATACAAATGTGAAGTTAGAATTTGAGTCTGAACCCAACTCCAATGCCACTTTAAGAAGATTTAAAAGAATTTATGTGTGTCTGGGTGGAATGAAGAAAGGGTTTAGAGCTTGCCTGAGGGATTTTCTTGGTTTTGAAGGGGAATTTATGAAGGGCCCTTTCCCAGGACAGATATTGACTGCAGTTGGGGTAGACTCAAACAATGGAATATACCCCTGGCTTATACCATTGTTGAGTCTGAGAATACTCAAAGCTGGAAATGGTTTCTTGAGATTTTAAGAGATGACCTGGACCTATATGCAAACTCAAACTTCACATTTATAAGTGATAGACAAAAGGTATGTAACTGGTATCTTAAATTTACTATATTTGCATGAAATATACTAACTATGTTTTATTTCCTTTACAGGGTTTATAGGCATCCATTGCTCAGTTGTTTCCATGTGCTGAGCACAAATATTGTCTCAGGCATATACATGATAATATAAAGAGAACATGGAGATCCAATGAACACAAAGAACACTTGTGGAATTGTGCCACAATAACAACAGTCCAAGAGTTCAAGCACTTAATGAATGAATTCAACTTATTTGACAAGGATGCATATAATTGGTTGAAGTAGATCCCCCTACAACACTAGGCAAGAAGCCACTTCACAAGTAATTTCCAAATTTGCCCCTGAGGTGTATTACTTTGTTAGTACACTATCTTGCTTACTATTTACTTTGTTTTTGACAACATTTCAGGGAGAGCAATATCATATATGCTTTTGAATAATCTTTGTGAAGTTTTCAACAACAAATTGGTTGAAGGACAAGATAAGCCACTAATAACTTGCTTGGAGTACATCAGGGAATACATGATGAAAAGAATCTATAATGTCATCAAGGTGCAAAATAATTGTGTAGGGCCTCTAACTCCTTCTGCAACAAAGATTATGTATACAAATGTCTATTTGGCATCTTAGTACACAACTAGGTGGAATGGTTCAGACAAATACCAAGTGAAAGGGCCATGGCAGGATCAACAAGTTGTTGACATGGCAGAAAGGGTATGCAGCTGCAGGAAATGGGAATTAACTGGCCTCCCTTGTAAACATGTCATAGCTGTCCTAAATAACAAAGCAGATAATGGTGAGAAGATTGGAGAGTTACACACTTATGTCCACAAGGTGCATTGGCTAGAAACTTGGAAAGCAGCTTATGTTCATAAGGTAGAGCCTATTAAAGGGAGATCAATGTGGCCTATAAGTGATTGCCCAATTAAAATCACCCCTCCTCTCCACCATAATCAGCCTGGGAGACCCAAGAAAAAGAGAAGGCAATCTGCAGGGGAGAGAAGCCAGAAGAAGGGAGAGAATGGTAATGGTGCTAATGGGAGTAAAACTGATGGGGCTAGTGGGAGTCAAACTCATGCTGCAAGTGGGAGTGGGAAGTTGACAAGGAAGTTTATTAGTGTGACTTGCAACAAGTGTAAAAATAAAGGGCACAATGCTAGAACTTGCAAGGGCCAAGTAGGAAATTGATGGGGTTTGAAGCTAGTTTGATGTCTTTTGGGTTTTACATGTCAAATACTTATGTTTATTGTATGTTATGTACTTGATGTCTTTTGGTGGGAAGATACATTGATGTTCTTTTTGGTACTTGATAGTATGTTATGAAAAACTGTATGTCTTTTGATTTATGGGAAAAACATATCAGAAATTTAATGGTATGGTTTATTGTATGTTTAATTTGATGTTAATTGCATACTTTACAATGTTTAAATCATACAATTGGATGTTATGGTTTATGGTATGTTTAATTTGATGTTAATTTCACACTTTACAATGTTTAAATCATACAATTGGATATTATGGTTTATGGTATGTTTAATTTGATTTTAATTGCGTACTTTACAATGTTTAAATCATACAATTGGATGTTATGTTTTATGGTATGTTTAATTTGTTGTTAATTGCATATTTTACAATGTTTAAATTTGTTGTTAATTGCATACACAAATGGAATGGTCAACATATAGATACAAAATATAACTTCCATTGACATTTTGTTGCAAAACATGTCTTAAATTGATTACATTGCTTACATCTTGAACAAAATACTACTTTCATACAACTTACCAAAAGATTACACTGCTTACTACTCACAGCTTACATTTTCAACAAAAAGCTACATACCCAAACTATTACATTCCCAAGCTACTTGTAAAATAGAGCACACACAAAGAAAATCCAACTTCATAACAGGTAAATTTTGAGTCTTGTGGTCCGAGCCTTCACTTTGTTTATTGTCCTCAGCAATCCAGGTATGATGGCTTTTGAACGTTCACACATTGGACCATCATACCACCCAATAAAGCGACACTTCGTGTAGTACCTGGTTCATGGTACGTATTTTTAAATTAAGTATTTTTCATTTTGGCCTGGGACTCGGCGAGTTGGTGGCCCAACTCGTCGAGTAGAAGCGGATTGGACATGGGAGTTAAGTGGCCGACTCGGCGAGTTAGAGACCCGGGATGTCATGTTCGTACAGATTAAAAGCATAAACAGTACAATATAAGCCTTAATAACACTCAATATAACTCATAATAATAGCCCAAATAATTATTTTAAGGACCTAATAACATTCCTATAATTATTTGAAAGCTATATTAAAAGTTGCGTAAGCGTGGCACACTTATAGCGAATTTTATCAAAAACCGGAACTTAATTGGAGCAGCGTTTCGAAACCAAAAAACTCCTTTTTCTCGGGACTCTGGGAGCCTTGGGGCTTCCTTAGGGTGCTAGGGGTTTAACTAGGGCTTAGGGGGGTTTATAGCACTTAGAGAGAGAAAGCTTGTAGAGAGAGAAGTGAAAAATGGTGTGAGAAATGAAGAACCCTCGGCCCCCTTTTATAGCATGCGAGGCCTTGGTACGCTAGGCATACCTTGTACCTACGCTGGGCGTAGTGGCTTGGTCGTACTACACGCGTCGCTTCGCTGATGGGTCATCGTGGCACTCCTCCGAACCGCTCAATCCGAAGTCCGCTGGGCGTAGCCTTCTTCCGACGCGGGGCGTACTCGGACGCGGGGCGTTCCTCTCGTACGCGAGGCGTAGTGAGGCCATGTGTCCGAATCCGAAGACCAGACCGTGATCCGCAAGCTACGGCCCTGATCGAGCCACATCATCCCCTTTTGCACCAGCTTCGCAAATTCGAGTTACAACTTCAAAAATTTGTATCTTCCACATACGAGCTCCGTTTTTGACGTTCTATATATCCACGCGAAGGTGGGAACATAATCTACAACTTTCGTTTAGACTTCATTGGCTAATTTTGATTCTATTTTAAATTTTATATTATTAACAGACCGGGACAGGATTGGTCCGTTAAATCCTCAAAACTTCTTCATCCGACATCCGTTTTCGCCCATCTTTTTCTCGTTACGCTACTTTTAACGAGACCTTCTATTCTCATTTATGTCGTGTCGGCTAAAAACCGCTCAATCTAATGTTCGAATTTCGGGCTATACACTACTATTACGAAACTTCGAAAAATCATAACTTCTTCATACGAAGTCAGATTTGGGCGTTCTTTTTATCGATGTTCTTAGTTGAACATATTCTACGACTTTCGTTTAGATCATTAAGGCTAAATCTTGCTCTATCGTAAATTCACTATTTACGCTTTCTGGTATCGTGCTGGTTCTGTTGCGAAACTTTGACGGGTCATAACTTCTTCGTTATAACTCGGATTTCGGCGTTCTTTATATGTACGGAAACCTTGAGATATATTCTACAACTTTATGTAGAGATATCGAGATTATCTCACACTTTAATTTTGACGCTCATTTTTATTCTTTATTAATTATACATTTATAATTAAATAATAAACACATAAACACACATAATTCACATAATACTCAATATTTCATCTTTATTACTTCTAAAAGAGTTACAAGAGTTTACCTAGACTATTATATTGACAAAAATGCTTAGCCCTAAAACCCGGGCGTTACAACATCACAACGCCTTCCGGCCTATAACATATATGCCTTCCGGCCCATAACATGATGCCTTCCGGCCCATATCAAGCATAGCATACATAGCACATACAAACGATTAACTTATGATATACAATGCATACAAGTCATAACATATTCGACCTTCTGGTCACACGATAAAACCCTTCCAGGTACAGTATAGTGAGAAAACTCACCTCGTGGAAAGTCTAGAATCT